TGCTGAACCTGTTGTTCAGAACTAGAGACTTGAAATACACACACTTTGCTATTATACAGATGCCAGCATCCTCCTGTGTTTTGTGTCTTTTGTTCACAAACTACTTTTGAATTAAGCTTTTTTGAAAAAAAGAAAATTATATCAATTAGATAACAGCTCATTTTGTTGACTTCTTTCCTTGCTCTTTTTGTAATCACGCTTTTAGTGCTGTGGAGGGAGGAGGGAGAACTGATTCTCTTACCTTAATGCAACAAACAAGCAAGCAAGTAAAGAAGTAACAAAAAGGGCACAGTAGTTTCTGAGTAGCTGCAAAGCTTACATATTTATTTTCTTTATATTCTTTAGTTTGGCTAAACTCATCTCACTTTGTCATGTGACTTTTCAGAAACACTTGTCTTGTAAATCAAACATTTCTGTTGAAAAACAGTTTACTAAAAGAAAGCATTAAATTAATGTTACCATATGAGATACCAAATTTGAAGTTTAAGAACCAGAACAGTGGCCAGTGTCAAACTAAGAAACGTACTTTGGGGAGCCAATTCACCGTCACAGTAATTCACCTGCCAATTCACCTGCTTTCTAAATATCAATGTATTCTACATATTTATAAAGCAAAGGTTTATTACAAAATAAATGCATTCAAATTAACAAGGTAGTGGTGTTTCAGAGAATTTTCTTGACATAAAAATTGATGTGATGAAACAAGTGCAAGGAGAAGGATAAGGACTAGTGCTCAAAATTTTTTATATTTATAGGAAATATGCATTTCTAGGAGACATATTAAAATTAAAATGTTGTTTGTCACTAGAGAAAAAAGTTTATCATAATAGCTATCCTCTAGATTTATTAAATACTCTAGTTCTGTTAAGGTATTATTGAAGACTATAAAGACCTTTGATGTTAAGATAATTGCTGTTAAAATATTTTACTTTAATTATAACTATGAACATAATACCATCACACAGGGGAAAAAAATTAGATAAAATGAAAATACACAAAGGGGATTTTATCAATACTCATTAATTTTGAACTGAGAGGTTTAAAGCAACCACTAAATGAATTATATTTATTCAGATTAGATCTCTGAAATCATTACTCAACTCAGAATGAATTAAGCCTACTGTGCCTACACTTGTGCACACACAAGTAAAGCCAAACAGTATACGAGCGTAAGAGAGTTGTAAAACTGAGCACCGGATTTTATTTTGCTCAGGTAATGACTGTTTTGATTAAATCGGTAACAAAGTCTGTCCTATAAGTATGTGTAATAATGAATTACCAAGTTTAAAAAGAAACATTTCTATTTCTGCCAACCACACACTCTATCTAAATTATACATATGCTATACAACTCTTAAAGGACAGGCAATAATTTCCTCACTTGGAATCTTTACACACATTTTATGACTTCACTTTAAAATTATAGTGTTTATTTTAAACAGCACCTGAAACAACTTTCTTTGCTCTGCTTTCTCTGTGTACAGAAAAACCAACATATTGTTTTCTATTACAAGAAACAGCATTTATTCACAATGGCACCTGGATTATTACATTTTTTTCTATATTTAAGATCGGAAATAAATTGCATTATCTCTGAAACTTCTGTATTGAATAGTAGTTTAAAGTAAATGTTTTCCAATAACGACAATTTTCCTGTCTGGCTCAAAAACCTTCCAATGCATACTCCCAAAACAAAAGCACTGTTAAAAAGTAGGCTTCTCGTTTTAATCAATTTGCATTTGAGCTGAGTTCAAAAGAACACTCATTCTCCATAAATATAAAGAAAACAGAGGGAATTCCTCTGAGAGGTGAAGAATAATTTGATCGAGGTTCTTCAGAAATTTGATTTTTTCTTCTCCTTCATAGTCTGAGCTAGAAGCATTACTTTCTTCTGTCTCATTTTGAAGAAGTTGTTCCAGAATCATGCACAAAGGAAAAACATTCTCATACTGGGTAATGTCATATGCAGACTGGACCTGGGGATAAAAAAAAAATCAGTACATAAGCACAGTGTGAAAGTGTTTCTGCAGCCCAACATCTCAGATGGCAGTGTAAGGAATACTGTTAAAATTGGCAGTAGTATTTATATAATCAGAATAGTTATACATTCGGTACGATTGTTTCTCAGAAGTGCTTCCTTTCTGGTGGTAACAGCCAAACAACTGACACTCCATCACACCCCGAAAAGTCAACATAATCCCCTCTTTATGAGTCAAAGAGAGTTTTCTTTACTTAATTATTCACAGGCTGTGACATACAATAGTGAGGCACAGAAAAAAAAACCAAAAAAACAATAACAGCTTTATTTGTTTTAGACATAGAATTGGTGGATTTCTGTTTTCTGAGGAAGAAAACAACAAGCAAAAAAGAACTTTTTACTCTTAAATATAGACGATCACCTATTCAACTGACACCTCTAGGAAACAAAAGTCCGAATTCTCCATCTCAATAGAAAATAAACAAACCAGTTCTGCGTCAGTTAAAGTGGAAGAGTCAGTTTGTCAAATAAGCTCATTGGCCAAACTAAAAAATTTTTAAAATCTCACAGCTTTATCCAATATAAATTTACCTGTCCTGTATTTAGAAACTGGAATTTTAAACAGGAGCTTCCCGAATCTTTTCCATACATAGGAAATAACTGGTAAGATAAAAACTTAAATCTTGGGGAGTTGTCTCTCTGGAATGAAATTCTGTGTCCCCCTTAACAGCAAAAATCCACCAAACATATGAGATGACTTTGTTCTGAAAATGGCTGCAATTACAGTAGGTAGATGATCAGAACTGAAAGGTAAAACCATAGCTTCTATAAAATTAATTATATATTTTAGAAAATGGACTGACAGCTCTAGCAGGTCTAAAAAACTGTTTACGTCGCTGGTACAAAGCCAGATGGGTCCAGGCACAAAGCCAGATGGGTCCAGGCTTTGACACAGGTCTATGAAAAAGGATCAAACAATTTTACCCAGACTAAATTACATACTGTAAGACTTTCTGAAGTGTGAAATTTATTATATAATCATGGTTCTTACAAATAATGCAAGTTGGTTTTGATTCCATTAGACAAAAAGGCAGCACTTTACCTTCCTCAGGTAAAACTGTGGAAGACTGCTCACCTTGACTTTCTGAGCTAGTAGTTCTTAAAACTAAAATCTAGGGTAATGTTTTTCAGGTAGACACCCACCTCAGGGACAATACTAAGAGACCACAGCCATCCTATTGCAAAACCTCAACACAGCAAAGGAATTTTGCTGAGTTTTCTAGACCTCTTAAAAATTAGGTTCATTACCAAAACACATTATCCCCAGCCTTGTCTACTCCCGTTCTGTCTCTCTAGAACCTGGTAAGAAAAATCTACAGTTCAAAAGCTGTGCCAAGAATTCAGTATTGACACTCTTATCAGAACAGACAGTAAAAAATATAAAAAGACAATATTAAGTATTTACATACTTCTAAAATCCAAGTAAATCAAAGTGAACAATTAGGGAAAACCTCCTTCCCAACCAGAGGTAAATAGACAGTCTGTTTTTAAAAAATACCCAACATCTGACTCTTGGACAATCATGCCTAATTGTGCACTAAGAGTGATGCAATAAACGTATTATTTTGCTTATTAGACTAAATTATAGCTTTCTAAGTTGAGACAATAACTGTTAGTACTGAATTTCTATGAAATTGATGATTTTAAAGCCCCACAAAGTCTTCTTTTAAGACTTTCAGTGTAGGGGTCATCTGACCAAACACAGGCATCAGCAAACTGAGACAGTTGCCCGACAGAGGGAAGCAGGGGGCGGAACTCAGTAGCTTGAATGTAGAAATTTATTGCCATTTCAAGGGTATCCAAGGTTATCCAAGGCATATCATGGGCAGAGCCTCACATAAGGGTCAGCAGCTGTAAGCTGGGAGGTGCACCTTAGGTTATCCAGTATGGTATTAGATGTCTGAGTTTTGGCAACCGAGTAGTTCCTGCGGTCTTGCAGGATACTATTCACCCCATTCTAAACTAGAACATCAGATGTACCATGTCCTGAAACTCTTTACAACGATAAACTGTGACTGTGCCCAGAAAAAAAAAAAAAAAAAAGTGACTATGTTATAAACATATATGTAGAAGCAAATATGATATTCTATGCTTTTAGTTCCTGTAGTTTGGATATTAGACGTACAAAGTCACAAGCAATAATCTTAGTTTGATTCTTAAATGAGAAATCAATATAACAGGTATTACAGAGGCAAATTTTGTCACAGCACTTACTCCTGTAACCTCAGGCTCTTCCAAGTAGTTAGGCAATTGTGTTACTTTCAGTAGGTCTTGAAAATTGCAACTAATTGCAACTTAGTAAACTATCTAATTTAATACGGATAATAGAAGCTACAAGTTAACTAATTAGCTTTCCCCTGCATTAAAGGAAGATTATGTTAGGAGGAAGTATTTTTTGAGGTAATTGGTTTTCTGGAGACAAATGCACTTTGAAATACTGTATTATAAAACCGGGGGGGGGGGGGGGGGGGGGGGGGGGGGCAGGGAATCAGTCTAGAACATTTTCTGGCTCAAGGCTTATTAACCTTTCCAAATCATTTAATAATCTCAACAAAACGTGTCTATTTCTTCTACTAGATGTCTTCCATAGCACTAATTGATGCAATTACTACCCATGCAGACTTATGCTACAGAATTTGTGGAGGGATATCTTTATTGTTACCTAATGGTGCACAGTCACATAATAGAGCTACTAATCTTGCCCACCAGTGCGTGTAAGAGGGTAGCAGTGTATCTACGTGTACACACACACACAGAGCTAATCCTCCCAGAAAGTTCAGAAGGTATGGCTATAAATTAGCAACCCTCGTATATATACTGCTATTACAGAATATATTAAGTAACACTATTCTTCAGAATGAATTTTAACATAATCACTCTTCTTGCAGATCAGATGGGTATGCAATATGGATTTTGGACACTATTTTTTATGAGACCAGTCCTTGTCAATTTTACCTCACCAAGTACTTGCAAATGTGTTTCCCAGCAGTAATATGCATTTTTATGCTCCTCAGTTTTTAATTTAACTTTTCAAATTATTTTCTTATGATTTCTCAATACAAACTTTTCAGAGTTAAATAATTTTTAAAAAATGTATTATTTATATAAGACTGAGCTTTACATGAGATGGAAACAAGGGTTACAAGGACCTCCTCACTGGATCTGATGATCTGCTAATCAGAATTAATGTATTTATATTAAAAAGTTCAAAATGCAGGAAGTATCAAAGCTTTTGGTTGAAATTAATTCTCCAAGCTTCTCCTACATTACAGGGCAACCACGTGGAATAGAATGCATATTTACTAAACAAACTGAAAGCAGGGAAGAAGTTCTCTTACCTGTCTTCTTTACAATGCTATCACAGGAACATGAACAAATGTGTTAAAGGAAACCGCTATGTTCTAGGTCCCTGCCCTTTTTCATATTTCCTCTTTGCAAAACAACAGCTTAGATGGCCCTGGATCAAATTCTAAGCCACTGCTCTCCTACTGGACAGATCTGGAGTCTTACTGAACAGATCACGAAATAGATTAGTGCAATTCTAAATTGCACTTATAGAGTATTTCTGTTCTCTTAGTTGCTCATGCACATTCATATAATTTATTCAAATGCCCTTAATAACAACAATATAAAACAAGAAAAGGAGAATAAATTTAGCTTTGAAGAAATTCTCTACAATTCTTAGGCCATTTCAGCAGTCACAAGTCATATTTCTAGTGATGAAGTCTGTGAGCCTGGAATTTTCACATGCAGAAGACTGATACTACTTTCTCAGTATAGGCGAGTGACTTCTATTCCGTTTATATCTCAAAGGACCCACAGAACAGAGACAATACTTTGCCGGTGCAAATAAAAATTAGATGAAAAGAAAGTATCTTCATGGCAACTACTATTTGCTTCCATGCAGCTCAGATACTTATGTAGGCAATGGACAAAGTGTCATCAACACCTGCACACTCTCTGGAATAAGACAGAAACAGTTCTAACTGGGGAAAAAATCTTTTTGGTTTAGAATGGAAGACTGAAATGCTGACATTTCCGACAAAATTAAAACAATTAAATTTAATTTAGAAGCACCATTATGTTTGATGAATGACAAAAAGCTTTCCTCCTTTTCTATTTCTATAATTCAGTTAAAATCTGCTTAGACTAAAAAAAAGTCCTGTGATGATACCAAGTTTAAACATATGTTGCAACAAATAATTATACACAACAGAATGCTATATAAAATACTGACATATCAATACAAACTTTAATCAAACTGGAAAGATGAGTGTTTATACACTTCTGCTGTTTAGGAAGTCATAAAATTAACACTTCTAGAAGATAGTTATCTTAGCAGAAAAGTTTTCTGCCCAAATCTTCTCAATCCATCATATTCTAACAGTTTTGCTTCTTGTAAATTTTTTCTTGCAACTTTTGCCTCTCCAGTTTCTTGGAAAACCTTTCCTATGCAGCAGGGATATAACTTTTTTTTGCTAGCAAGGTGTCTTCTCTATGTCTCAATATAAAGTTGAAAGCTGGTATTTTTCCTCTTTTACATGGTATATATTTTTCAGAGAGGCATAACGGGTAGACTGAAATAAAAAACAGGATCTGCTAAAGCCTGGCTAGTTTTGCCTTCTAAGGGAAGTACAGGCAGTAGGAACTGCAGCACCACCAGTTGCTGGGTTGTGACCACTTAGTTAAGGAGGATGGAAGACAGAACAGAACCAAATCTGCCATCTAGTCATTTCCAGCAAAAATCCCCCATCCCTGTCCCCTCCTCAGAAAAGCAAATGTAGCCAAAGCTGCTACGAATTTTCCAGAGCAGGCAGAAACAAAGAGCAGACATTTTTCTTGACATAGACTACCACTGACCAACACATCATCCCAGCAAGTAGTCCTAGTGCCCCTTTGCGTCCTTGCAGGTGGCTGCTAGTACAGGCATGAATGAAC